AGTACGTGCATCTGTGGTGAAGATCGACATCACAGATAGATAAATCCACTATTTAAAGTCCTTCAAAACGTTGTTTAACAGAAAACAATTCTTGGCTAATAAAAAAGATAATTAAAGTGTTTGATCTCATGAAATTTTATCAATGGCGCTTGTTTTTGGGCAAAAGGTCTAATTATGTACTCATTTTTTCGTTTTCGTACAAAGATATATTTTCGACTCTTTGGTGTTATATTCGCCGGTTAAACTGATGGTTATAGATATTTTCTAGAGCGTTCTTCAATAAAACTGTCATGGAGCAATTGAAATGTTGGGATTTTACTCATACCGCAATTTCAAAAACTGTAATAAACTGAACCCTTTAAAAAGGAAGCCATTTCACAGGTCGATATTAAACAGCACTTAGAAAACAAATTAACGCCCCGAGCGTCTTTTAAATATAGTACGATAAGAGGAGGAGGAGTGTGGAATTATTACCTAACAGGTGTTTTTATATGAAGGCATTTATTGACGTTTAACATTGAAATTCAACTGTAATAACAGTATATTACGTGCAACTATAAAATTACAAGAAAAAAGAGGAATATAAAACCGTTAGTTTTCAATTTCAATGCCCCTGAGGTTCGCTGCACTCATTAGCCTCATCAATGTCTGAATCTCTATAGAACGTCACCCTTGCTACTCTGCTGCATATCAATAGTGAGAGGTATTTCGAAAACATTTGAAATTTCTATGGGGCATTAATTAGATATAAATTGGAGGGAAGGTGTTCATTAATTTCGGCTATTAAAATAACCTGTGGGTGATGTGAGGATAGCCCCGGTTGTTTTGAAGGTGAATGCAATGTACTTCACATGCATGTAGCTAAAAAAGAGAATGCTATCATTTTAAACTTATGTTAAGCCATTATTTGAACCAAATGGTATGAGTAACAAAAGAATATGATAGAACCAAGCGTTACTACACAAGGAAAGCTGGAAAAGGTGTGATTGCTGTATTAAAAGACAACACCACAAGAGGCAAGCCCCTCGTTCCACGAACTGTGTTCCTCAGATGTGGTGCGCCGCCAGATCTCCAGTGGTGAAGACTCTAATGAAGACAGTGTGGACGTGACGCTGATGGAGGCACTTGCCCAATGTTACCAGGCTTCCGACACTTGGGAGAAGCATCGCCAAATACTTTCTATCATGGCAGATGAGGTGCGCTTTACCAAACTCCTTCGTTATATTCCTTGTCTCACCAACTATCGATTTACGGACGCCAAACGCCATTGCCTTACCTATGGAAGAGGTGGACCAGTAAAGTCCTTACGAGCATCCAGGAAAGACATCGCTTGTTCGCAAATAAAGCATTTCATCGCCTTCATAACAAGCTCGCACATTGTACAAGATTTGCCATTCGGAGAAAGATCCATTACGCTTAGCAACAAAGAAACTATAAAGATACCAAACGTGATGATTCCTGAAAGAGTGGTCAAACAATATTTGGCCGACTGTGACAGGATGAGTTTCAAGCCCTTGAGCCGAAGTACGCTTCTGCGTATCCTTGCTATTTGTCCCGCCTCTGTTTGAAAGTCACTTCAAGGCTTAGATTACGCTAGTTCTGCAGGATCGCAGGCATTTGAAGACTTATCCGACGTCGCAGAAAGACTTGGAGACGCGGGAAAAGGCATGATGGGCTGGACGAAAGATATACAGAGTCGCCTTCGACTTGGAAAGTGTTACCTCAAAAGGGATTACGAGGCAAAGGTTCTTCATATTCATCCTATAAGGTTCTCAAACACGTAAACAGTTCTTAAGGCGGAATACACGTTTGTAGTAGGTGCTTCTCTACCGAATAAGCTCATGCACCCCTATGAACGAAAATACCCTTTTACGCGAGAGGCAAGCTTCAATCTGAGCCTGGCTGAACTTTTTGTCAGATAAAAAGTTGATCTGTAATTTTCTTTTAGATCGCAAATATTGCTGGAAAATTTGTTTCTTTTTCTTTCGATTACTTTTTAGAGTTTCGCAATGACTGCTTTTTTCGTGTATATTAATTACATGGCACCCAGGCCCGTCAAAGCGTATGAGCATTGCAACTACCAACTAATGTCATCTCTCAGCGAAACAGAATCAGCAATGATCGCCCAGACAAATAACCTGCTACCCGAATTCAAGGAAGAACTTTCGTTTACTGTAAAGCAAGCTTAAACAAACATCTATGCCCGGAAGGCTCACACAGTACGCTCCTAAATCAAGATGCTGCAAGGATCGATATCCTCGAGTCATTAAAAAAGTCATCAGTGCTAGTTATACTGGGCTATGAAATATTTGCCGAGAAAATACCGAGAAAGCCAAACCGGTTGGTTTCGCAAACGTAGCATTACTCGGCACATCAGCGTAGCCTTCAGAAAGGTTAGCGAACGTCTTCAAATGCTAACCTTCGCTCACATTTTCCAGAGGTGCACTCAAGACAGCTGTGCGGTCCTCGTTAGCGGACGTTATCAAACAACTCAAGACCATCATGCCAGATGTGAAGACAGTCAGTTATAGCCAAGACAACGCTGGCTGCTACCATAGCGGGTTTATCATAGCCTGCGCAAACGTGGTAGGAAAAGAGTCGGGCAAAGCGATCAAACGATTGGATTTTTCAGATCCCCAGTGTGGAAAAGGAGCTAGTGATCGTAAGGCAGCCTTGATAAAGTCACACATGCACATTCACTTAAACTCTGGCAACGATATCGTGAAACTCGCGCAGATGGTTGAGGCTGTTCTTTCTTCCGGCGGAGTGGCATCACTAAGTGTCACCCTCTGTGAGTCTATCACAAGCCCTCCGATGGTCACTTGCAAAATTGATGGTGTGAGTAAACTCTCAAATATAGAGCTCACTATAGAAGGAATCCGTGTATGGAGAGCATACGGTGTGGGAACTGGGAAACTGATATCTGGTCCGAAGGCTGAGATCCCATCACTAGATAGTCTGCCGTCAATGGTAGTATACTCCTGGCGCGCCCAAGCTCTTTCTCCTTCGTGGTGAAAGGGCGGACTACCACAACACATCTAAGTGAAAACCCATGAAACAGTTTTTTAAAATTGTTTTGCTGAACAAAATTAGACCTCGAGTAAGGACACTTGTCTTTCCGTAAAACATTCTTTAAAGAAATGCAATATAGGATCATTTGTAATTTTCATGTTAGCTCTATGAGCTCTACGAGAATTGAGTTTTCGGGGTATTGAAGGTAGAGGAGGGGAGGGGAGGGGGTTTGTGGTACTCTGATGATCCCCACTCATTTGCCATCAATTTCCTGTTGTTTTCCTCTTCTACTCTGTAAACAACGACTGATCTCCTTTTCATTCTCCTGAAAACCATATGAGCCCTCCTCCCTCCAGAAAATAATACTTTTTAATACTTTTTTTGGCCTCCAAAAAAATCCTTCTTCCATACCTCATGCCCCCCTTCC